GAGCTACCCATCCAGATCTACCAAAAGTGGTCACGAGAGGAGAACTGCCACATCTGGAGCTGAGATCAGAGCAAGAAGTTTCACACCTAACCTACAGACCAAGAACAAGCACTTGTGACAACCTTCTACCCAGAGACATATTTCCTGAAATTACTGTGTTGGCTTCCCTGTTTGGTTATCTCATTTAACAAAGGAAGGAGAAGTCATTTTTTACACAGCTGAACTTTAACTGTAGGACTGAAAAGAAGTTCTGTAGGACTTCTTTTTTTTCCCCTCTGCATATTTGGCATACTGACAGACTTTAACCATTTCCCAACAGAAAAGAAGCCTGATAAGTATTGATTTAGGATTATTTTTGTATAGCTGTTAATTTTCTCTCGTTTAACTCTTTAGTTTTCTTTTGTGTATTTTGTATGTTTCTATTTATTTATATTGCTTTTCTCTATATTACAGAAAAAAGGAGGAGTTATATTGCACACTTCTAAATTATTTTTCTAGTGTATTGTCACAGGTCTAGGCAGGCTGAAAGCAGCAAATAACTGATAAAACACAGCGTCGGGGCAAATAATAAACTTTGACTCCTGGGAATAAAGTTTGTACTTGAACATAGCAATATTTCCTCCATACTGCTGCAATTATGATTTTGGTGATTCGTTTCAGGACTAATAGCGTTTACCTGACTCAGTGTGCCACTTTTCACTTTATACTTAAAAGTTAAATTCATTATTATGTGCTGTTGAGATGGCCAAACAGCTCTCATAATTTTAGTTAGTACAGAAATAAGCCACACAAATCTACGGAGTACCTTATCTGAAGACAAGTTTGTTGTTGGCTGATGGCAGAACAAGTTGTGGTAACGAGTGGCAATCACTGTAGCTTTTCTGAATATACAACGCGTATGTTTTGGATCTCAAAGCTATCAAGAAATCAAATTTTAGGTTCCTTTCTTTGCTGTGAAGATGATTAAGGGAAATGGTTGTTCCATCGGTAGGCTTGAGAATAAATTTCCTATAAAATATTCAGCTTGGCTGAAATTGAATTTCTTTCTTCTTTGTAATGTTGCATAAAATTTGAAAATGCCTGGTTATTTGGAGGTGATGTTGCTACGCAACCACTTCACCTCCCTTTCTAGCTTGTGAAGATGAGCAGGTAGTAATTCCTCTCTAAATGTTTTAACCAAACTTGCAAACAACTGAAAAAAAAAATGTAGAAAACTTTTGCTGATACTTTTACAGGTATGAAATTATTTCAGCTAATATTAAGAGTTAAAAATAAAAATCTGCGTGAAATACTTTCAAACTTTTTTCCAAAGAAGTGGCTTTTTCTCAAGCAGACTCATGAAAAAAATAATATGAAATCCAGTACATTTGTTTAACAACAACAACAAAAAAAGACAGAAACCAACCCAAAGAAAGTGAAAAGAGAGGACCTCTTCACATCAAATGTATACTCACATATATACATGCACTTCATATTACTAGAGAGAGATTCAAAGATCTCATTTTAGCAAAGGATCTATGTATGTGCTTATCAAGCTTTTTAATCAACCATAGCAAATGAAAGGTACGTTATAAATGAAATAAATGGAACACCATACAAAAACATCTCACAATAGTTTGGTACCAAGGCTTTATCTCGCTACTATAGCACAGGTAAAGAATATTAACCAAAGCCTGTATCCATTTTGTCTTGCAGCTTCAAGGACTGAAGAACAATGCCAGTGTCTTGTTGGACTTCAGACAGCCTTTGTTCTTCCCATATATTCCCAGTATCTGTATGGCATCTTTTTAGAATTTGAAAACTTCCCTTTTCAAGACTATATTGCGTACACACATCACGTGCTTCATTGCTGTGTTTTATTTTAACTAGCAGTAACACAATCCACAGCTGTAACTGCTTATTGGAACTCAGCCAGGTCACAACACCATGCCTTTCTAGCTCTCTGGCTCTACCTCTGCCCACACTAATCTCTGCATTGGGTTTCCTAACCTCAGCCCCCAGGTCTTTCACCCAAAATGCTGCAGTGCCCTCTCCATCACCTCTCATGCTGTCATCTTTGGAAGGATTGGAATAAGAGAAAAAAATAATATAAGTAAATGAGGAAATAAGAGACATTATTTTTTATGAAAGGTAGCCCAAATTATTTTAATGCAATGCACATGGTACATCTCCTATTCAAATCAATAAAAGTGACCTTAAGTCAGCTAGAATACAAATGAACAAGGATGTAAAATAACTCAGTTCCTTCTTTGTTATGGAAATACTCTGAACATGAAAAAAGTTTATCATAAACTGGCCTCTGCCCCTTGTGGGCATTGTTCTCTGGCTGCGCTCCGAGACGTCACCAGCTAAAATCAACTTTGCTGTGCTTGCTACTTATAACTCTATCTGCGGTCACAGGCAACTGTATGTGCATCTTTAAATATTACTACTTAGAACTCTAAATTATCCCAAAAAGCATTTCATACAGTAATCTGAAATTATTAGCTACTACAGACCTTACTCTGTTATCTCAGTTCCTCATCTAGATATAATTCTGCGTCAATGAAATAGTATTGCACAAATAAAGGACAAGCAAATAAAGTGAGTGTTGTTGTGGAACCCTACTGTAGACCACCCAGCCAGGACAACAAGACCAATGAACTATTCTTTAAAGAACTAAGAGATATCTCTAGATCAGACACCTTATGGTTTACTTCAGCTTGCCAGATGTGAACTGGGAATACCCCACAGCTGATACAGACAGGTCCAGGAGATTCCTAAAAGGTCTTGATGATAATTTCTTGGTACAGGTACTGAGGGAGCTGAGTAGGAAAGGTGCCCTCCTAGACTTGTTGCTTGTAAACAAGAGTCTCATGAGTAAAACGGCAACTTGTGCCTATCTTGGCCACAGTAACCATGAAGCAGCTGAGTTGAAAATCTTTGGTGACAGGAAGAAAACTGCCAGCAGAACTTCAACCCTGGATACACAGAGAGCAGACTTCAAGGATGCTGAGGGAAATAGTTAGGAAGGCCCCCTGGGAAAATGCTTTTGAAGATATTGGGATCCCTCAGTGCTGGACAGTTTTTCAGGACACAGAAACAGGCAATTCCCAAACGTCAGAAGTCAAGCAGGTGGGACAGAAGGTTGGTTTGGCTGAACACGGTTCTTCCTCTAGAGCTGAGGCAGAAAGTGTATGGCCACTAGAAGTACAGCTCAGTAGGGAGACTTTATTACTCTCTACAACTACCTGAAAGGAACTCCTGGGGAGCAGGGGGTCAGCTTCTTCTCACAGATAACTAGCAACAGGACAAGAGGGAATGACCTCAAGCACTTGGACTATGCTCTTTCATATGGTCTGAATTCTGATTTTTTGGTAGACCTGGGTAAAGCCAGGTGTTGAACCTGATGATCCTTTGGGATCCCTTCCAACTCAGTAGATCCCGTTCTATGATTCTATGTGCAGGCTTTGCTGCTCCAGATGGCTGTATATAAGTCTACATGGCCCCTTGTGATCCATCCCAGGGTATTCAGAGTTGGCTGATATCATTGTGAGACCTCTTTCAATTATTTTTCAACAGTCTTGGGAACCTGGAGAGATCCCTAATGACTGGAAGATGGCAAGCATTGTTCTAATTTTCAAGAAGAGCAGGAAAGACAACCCTGGTAATTACAGGCTTGTCAGTCTCACTTTAGCATCTGGTAAAATTAAAGAGAATATTACGACTGACAATGCAGTCATTGGTCACAGCCCACACAGGTTCAGGATGGGCCAGTCCTATTTAACAATCTTAACTTCCTTTTATTACAAGGTCACCTACCTAGTTGACTAACAGAAGCCACTTGATGTAATCTTTTTGGATTTCAGCAAAGCTTTCAATATGGTTTCTCACACTACCCTCCTGGACAAAATGTCCAGCATACAGCTAGACAAATACATAATGTGATGGGTGAACAACCGGCTGATGGGTTGGGTTCAGACGGTTATAGGAAATAGGGTTACATCAGGCTGGTGGCCAGTCACGAGTGGGGTTTCCCAGGGCTTCAGTTCCCTTTAACATCTCCATAAATGACTTGGATGCAGGCCTTGAAGGTGTACTAAGGAAGGTTGCAGACGACACTAGTAGGAAGTTTTGATCCCTCAGCAGTAGAGAGTCCTTGCAAAGAAATCTTGACAAGTTAGAAGGCTAGGCAATCACCAGCTGCATGGGGTTCAACAAGAGCAAGTGATGGATTCTGCACCTGGGATTCAGATTGCCCACCTGGGATGGGGTTACCCTGGGCATACATACAGACTAATGATGAGAGGCTAGAGAGCAGCCCCGTGGCAAGGGATCCAGGGCTCCTGGTCAACAGCAAGCTGAATGTGCATCAGTAGTGTGCCTGGCAGCCAAAGTGGCTGACTGCACCCTGAGGTGCCTTAGGGCCAGCACTGCCAGCTGCCTGAGGGAAGGGAGGGTCGAGCTCTGCGCTGCTGCGGCCTCACCTCAAACGCTGCGTGAAGTTTCAGGCACCACAGCATAAAAAGGACAAACTACTAGATAGGTTCCAAAGGAGGGCTACAAAGATGACAAAGGGTCTACAGGACAAAATACGTGAGGAGTGGCTAAGGGGCTTGGTTTGTTCAGTCCAGAGCAGAGCAGGCTGAGGGGAGGCCTCATGGCGGCCTGCAGCTCCCTCACGAGGGGAGCGGAGGGGCAGGCGCTGAGCTCTGCTCTCTGGGGACAGCGACAGGACCCGAGGGAACAGCATGGAGCTGGGACAGGGGAGGGTCAGGATGGGGGTTAGGGAAAGGTTCTGCACCCAGAGAGTGGTCAGGCACTGGGACAGGCTCCTCAGAGATGTGGTCATAGCACTGAGTCTGCGGGAGTTCAAGAAGCATTTGGACAACACTTCCAGACAAAGGGCTTGGATTTGGGTCGTCTGGTGTGGAACTAGGAGTTGGATTCAATGATCCTTATGGGTCCATTCCCACTTGGGATATTCCAAGATTCTATAAATTCATGAACTGATGCTTGAGAACTAGTTGGATATTGTAGTCATGAGTGGACAAAATTTGAGAATATAGCTCCATATTTAGAGAGATTTAAAACTAAGTGTGAAATCCCTCATATACATATGTATCACAAAGGAACTAAATTACAGAGCACCATAATTTTTGTCTTCTCCATCCTGAAAACTTAAGTTATTTAAGTAATACCACTTGGTTATATTAAACTTTATTTTCCTTTATGTATACACCAACATGTCTAACTTATATGCCAATACTCTTCTTTTACCCAAAGTTTGAGATTGTGCCACTCTAGTTTGTAGAATATACGTATTTTTTCTAATTCAACACATTATATTCTGCTTTACTCACTGTACGCTTGTTGGCTTCGTAAAGAATTCCTGAAGGCTTGCTACAAATGAACAGTAAAAATAATAACAAATAACAATGCTGAGACTGGAGAAGCTTTTCTGTCTAGCTTAATAATACAGGTTAAGCTTCATTTCTTTGTGGCCAAACAGATTATTTGTTGAAGTAGTTTAAAAAGGCTTTAATCTAATTTCTGCATGCCTGTTTAGCAGAGCATGGATCATCAGCTCAGTGCCTGGCTAAAAAGATTTCAGGAAAACACAGAATTCTGGTCTCTGGTATCTACTCAAACAAAAGGGTCAGGACTCATTACTATAAGTGATTATTATTCACAAAAATCTTAGTTTATGGGATACCTGCAGAAAGAAGGTGATGTTATTGCAGCTGGTTATTCCAACCCCATCTCACTGTAATGTTCTGTCAGACACTAATAAACTTAGATAAATATGTTTCCTGGAGTGCACACACCATAAACTAGGCTTTGTCATTGAGGATCTTCTTTCAAGTTTGTTTGCTGGAATAAAACTTGTGATAGGAGACTGGTATCAGGAACACTATGAACACTATTTGTGGTACTTTGAAGTTGTTACAGTCATTAATTGCTGTCTGTTAATGGTAATTTAATCCCATGTTGTGCAATGCAGCAACAACTATTTTGTAAAGGTTAATGAAGCCTTTAGGTGATTATGATCTTTACAAAATTCCCTAACCTTTGTAATATAGCTTGTTCCTCTAAAAAATTGCTATTGACAGTAAGTGTTTCACTAGGCAGGGAAAATCCCTACCTTTTAACTGCTGGGAACAGGGATTGAGGCAGTGAAAGAGAGAGCAGAGCAAAACACAGTGTTAGGCCTTTCGCAGTGTGCAAGCAGGAGAAGCATTCACAGAAAAACTTCATGAAAATGGATCAAAAGTTCTCTCAGATCATTGTTCCACTAAGATCTGCAGGTAGCATTTGAAAAAGAAATATGAAGTGGTGGTACATCTTGTGGATACAATTCAACAGTGTTATTGCAGGTCTCCCATGCATACACGCTTTCTGCATACATGTTGCCATAATAAACATACACATAAAGGGAAGGCTGGAGAAGCAAACTGGGAAGCATGCTCAAAAGCATTGTTAAACCTCCTATGGCCATTCCTCTCAGCTGTATGTTTTCTAAATGTAGAGATTTCCAAATTAGTAACCATGGAGAACATCACCAGTCTGGCTTGTTTTTTTCTAACCTTGCCCATATATTTTACTCCTTTTGATTCTTAAATAATGATATTTTCTTAAGTAGATTCTTACGCTGCTTATAGATTTGGACATAAGTTTGACTTAATGTGTTTCTCAGTGCATAGGATTAGTGCATACAGATTCAGACTAGATAAATACAGAGCATACTGCAATCCCTGTTGCACAGCACTGGTAGCATCTAACAAATACATAAGGACCAAGTGAGCAACATTCATAAGGAACACAGATAGCATTAAGTGGAGACTTTAAACCATTACTCTATATTTAAGAGTTTGTGGACCTTGGCACGGATCAGATACAACACATTTAATTTACTGACAACTTGTTTGTTATATATATACTGCCTAGGCACAGAGGCAGTATGCTGCCAAAGCTGCGCGTCTCTATGGCTACTAGTTTCAGATGCAGGATTTGCTGAGTTTTCAGGACCCAGAACAAGGGAGATGCTTGCAGAAACAGCAGTACACACCCTAGAGAAAACACATCCAACAGCCTTTTTTTTTTTTTTAAAGCATTAGTATAAAATAGCAAGCAGGCTGCACAAGTGGGAAAGGTGGTAGTATGCTATAACCTTTGTAACTGAGGAAGCAGATGGAAAATGTTAATAGCCTACACTATGCAGATTTTCTTGTGTCAACTTATTTTTCTCTAAATGCTGATGAACCAGAGCGAGCACCAGGAGGGAGCAGTCTTGAGTCCTATACCCTGGGACACACTGGTGGCTCAGCAGCTCTAGGGCTGGATGCTCAGTGCATACCTGAGCAATGGCCCATTCCCTTCATCATCAGCGGATGCAGACTCTGTAACCACCTTGCTTGTCATATATATTCTTTCACATAGGCAGTCAGTATTATGCAGAAAAGGAAGTGCCAAATCTCTAAGACCAGCAATTATTTCTTTTTCCAATTGTTCTTTGTTCATGAAAATTACATTTCTTAATAATAATGCAGCAAGATTTTACATCTTACATGATTTACACAAGTATCTATGACATAATCATAAGATTTATTTATGAACCAAACTGCCTGAAATGCAGATTCTGACTGTTGTTCTGGGTGTATGAAACTCCCATAAAATTTCTTTCACAAAACAGAATCCTGGCTAAAGAAGGGAGTAGTGAGTATGCTTTGGCTGCTTAACAGACACTATGTAAAGCAACTCTTGGCAATGCTCTCATTAATGTTGCCACCTTTGATACGTGCCAGACTGAATCCTCCTCAGCTAAGGAATTGCCTTTTTGTTGTCCCATATAAATCATCTCCTACCTTGCCTGTGTTAGAGAAGCTGCATAATTGAAGACCACTTTGTTAGAAGCAGCACTTAGAGCAGCTGTATTTAGAGGAGGAGGAAGGTGGCTGAGCCAGGAAAAAACTTGGTAAGACAGGAGCTCCACCTATTCCAAATTCTTTAATTTACAGCTGAGAAGCAGAAAGGGAGTGAAAGTTTTTTGAACACTTACCTCTGCTCACAAGGCAGAGAAACTCTGAGCTGCACAGGCAGCCCCTCAACCAATCACACACTGTGAAAAGGGTTGCAGATCCTACAGCCTTGGGCTCTCAGCAGGTTGCAGATGTTTTTCTGGGTAGATGATGGGTGAGCTGCAATAAACAAGATGTTCTCACTCTATGTGCTTTATACATCCACCAAACATTTTCAAATAGCATCAATTTTTATGGTCAAGACCATTTGCAAACATGGGGCATGTTTTAACAAAATCTATTGCATGCACATATTGTGACAGCTTATGCTGGTGGCCAAACCTTTCTAAGCTACATGATAAATGTGCACAGCTGAAAGCCTTAAAGCCTGCCACTTTTAAGTCTATTATTTTTGCCTAGCGTACTAATCCGCATCTAGAGATCTTAAGCAAAGCTTGGCTGGATCACATATATAACCCTTGATTTCCATCCTGCAATTGTTACATGACTGGCATCTTCTCTTTAGTGGGAGAGCAGAAATCATGGAGAACAACCGGTTTCTGAGGTCTGAAATATGCCAAGCCCTTGCAGTACAGACAAGTTGTTTGGCCAGCATCACCCACTGCTCCATCTTCTTTTCCTGACCCAGCATGAAGTGGTTCCACTCATGCATGTTTAAGATCAATCTTGAAAATTTCTTACTCTCATTTATGCTTTCCGTTTGCCCACTGAGAACCTGCTGATGCTTACTGAGCTCCTCTGGCCTCAGTGACCAGAGCCTTTGAAAGATGAGACTGCTCTGCTGAGGACCTTTTACCATTTAGTTTACTATTTATTTGGCATTCAGTAGAACAAGATTTGAACTCTTTAATATTGAGTAAGTTTGCTACTTATAAGTATTCCTTAAAACTCAATTCTACTAAGAAAACCAAAATCCGTTCTCAGAATGGTGAGAAACTAGGTGCTTTTACAGCTTGCTACTCCCCAGATTTTTCTTCCAGTTGCCTTCTGCCTTCTCTTACAATGATTTGTTTTCATCATTAAATATAACTAGTATTTTCTTTGGAGGGAGGAGTATTTTTCTTCTCTATGAGACAAGTTTGCAAAGAGAGTTAATATCTTTTGTTAAAGAAACTGATAGTTAGGACTAAAAAAAAAAGAAAAAAAAGAAAGAAAAAAAGAAGAGCAGGGATACAAGCTGGCAATAGCAACACTTTTGTTGTATGTACTTTTATAAAGGAAGCCTAAAACTTAAGTAGAGCCCTTGGAAATTACCACAAAGATGGATAAAAATATAAACAATATTTGATTCAAATAACATTTCCTATATGTGGACTGGCAATCAAGAAGCTTCTTAGACTATGGCTGTAAGTTCCCTTTTAAGGTAAAATAACCTGCTCAGCACTGATTGCCACTTCATGAAAACTAGAAATGTATTATGACACAAAATCCTATAATGGTATTTAGTACAAAAATAACATTTTCCATTTAGAAACGGAGTAGAAAATTTCAGAGACTTCACAATTTTCTATTATATATATAAAATGAAGTTGATACGTGAAACCAGTGAGATATGCAGCTGTACTACAGTAAGCTAACCAATCATACCAGGTAGTTAATTGATTTTAAAATAAGATGAATGAGTACCACGTCTAAGAAGCAAAGAACTTATTTCTTATTGCTGCATAAGATCTTTAATATCACCAGATCGAGACACTGTATGTGAAAGGCCAAGTTATCTCCTCTAGCAAGATCCAAATCCCTCTCAAAAAAAAAATAAAATAAATATATATATGTAAAAGTAACACAAAATCCCAATCAACATGGTGTACCAGAATAGCAGCTAAACCCATGGTTGTGTTCAGCTTACAACTGTCCCAAAAATTATTTCTGTGAGAACAGAGACTATAAGCAGAAGGTGGGCATAAACGAAGTGGGGGCTCAAATGCCATATTGCATGATCATAAACCACACAAGGAGATTTACATTGTCTATTTCAGCAGCACGATGCTGAAAATATCATTGCTACTTCTTCCTTTACCTTTATACCAGAAAATGTCAACATCAAAACCAGACCAATCAATCGACAGACAAACGTATGTCCTTTCTACATGACTGTAATCTTGATCTTTTGCTGCTGCTCTTGTTTCAAAGCCCCATGGGTTTTGGTTTGTTTGATCCACTCACGTATCAAGCAAAATGAAGTATCAAAGATCTTACCTCATCTGAGAAAGCAAGAGAATGAAAGAAGAATGTCCAATACATAACAGCCAATTAAAAAAAAAAAAAAAGAGGAATTGTGATAAAGCTGTATATGATGTGAAGATTTTGAAACTGTGTTGGCATGCCTGAATTTAGACAACATCATTTGCTGACACTATCATACCAATGATCCACTGCTAGGAACTATCAATTCATCATTGTTGGGCAAATAAATATTAATTTCTATCAATGGCCATGGATTTGCACCCACCTTTAATTTTGCAAAGAAACACTGGCCCTTCATTGCCATGGACAAAAGACAAAAACAAACAGAGCTGTTGAAAAAATGGTTTGAATACAGGTGAGTGAACATACAGCAAGAGAAAGTTGAAGAAAAAAAAATATATATATATATTATTTTTTAAGTTAGAAGCATTGTAGATAAACTGCAGGAACAAGAGAAATATGTGGTTTATAAAGCTGCACTTTAAATTTCTCTTATGCTATATTGCTGTCAGTCTCAGCCACCTTCCTTTCCAAGCCAGCCCTTTTACTTAGCAGGAATTGTATTGTGTGCTAAATTCAGCATCTTCTGGCTGAAAATAATTTCAGACTGAACATTATAGTAGAAGATTTTTCCCTCCTCCTCCACCCTATAGCTATTACAGTTCCAGCTTGTGTTAGCACTAAATGTGAGATCCAAAAATGGTTCAATAGGCACAGAGCAGACCTGTCACGGTTTAAGGCTATGTCTTACTCTCTGTTCAGGGGAGAAGATCTCTACTAGCTGTCTACTCTTTTCTATTTTTTATTATTTTAGGAATACCTTTTTTTGTTCACTGGTTAATCCTAGGTAATACCAGAGAAAGCTTTCTTATTTGGGCTTTGTTTTCTCTCAGTTTACATAGGACATTGAGTTCATTACATGAAAAGACACAGCTAAATGACAAATTACTGATGGCTTCTTTGCCCCTTTACCTTGAACTATGAACAATAAAAACAAGTGTTCTAGACCCAGAGAAATCTTGGAATAAACGTAATACTTCTACAAAGTCTTTTACATATTTTCTCAAGAGATTTTTTTTGTTGCTACTTTTTTTCAACAATTGGCTCAACTAAATACGCTTATTTTTATGGCAGAAAAACGGTCTTACTCATTTTTATTTTTTAACTTAAGTCAAATTTGCAATACAAAGAGCTCTAAATTGGTAGCAACACTCAGGAGTTATTCACCCCTTTCTTTCTATTTCACTGTCTTTATGGAGTTGGTTAGCATTTCTTTTTGGCTATGTAATATAAAATGCTAACATTAAGACCTTCAAAAGGTGATCCATACTGTTGTCATATACAATTACACAGCTCAGGAGTGATCAGCTTTCCAAAGCACTGAGGGAAGCAGCTTTCTTCTTTGTCTGGAGCCACTGATGTTCATATTGCTCTTTCTCCTATCCTTGGTATCTTTCTATGACTCCACCATTGCCACCTCTGGGAGGATGATTTTATACTTTTATACTTCTTGCATCACACCCCAAACTTTGTTTTCCATTGCACACATTCTAGCAAGCCTCTTTCCAGCATGCCGGTCCTATTGCTAATACAATACTTAAGCCTGCTTCCAGAAAATCAGTTCCACTGGGAATTTCAGTAAGGGATTGTTCTAATGCATACCAGTCCATTTCCCTCTCTGAATCCCTTATGCTTAAACTCCTGTCACAGTTTAAGAAGCATTTAGACTGTGCGTTTAGTCACATGGTCTAAAATTTTGGGTAGACCTGTCTGGTGCCAGGAGTTGGACTCAATGATCCTTATGGGTCTGTTCCAACTCGGGATATTCTATGATTCTATAGTTCCTATTTTCTTTCGTGATTTATTCTCCAAAAATTGATCAGATTTTGGATCGATTCTCAGGGCATGACAAATGCTTTCTAAATGTGCACTAACTTGACCTTCAAAAGGTTGTTGTTTTTTTTTTTTTCCATCACCGGCAGCATTACTCGTGTGCCACCAGAGCTGCACTGTTTGATGCTTCCCAGATGTCTAAATGTCCATTGTGCATGGTCTACGTTACAGAAAAAGATGAGAAAAAACAATTAACAATGGCCACGCTTAGTGGATGAGAAAGCTAGGGTTCGTTGAAATTAGAAGAAAGTAATTTATTAATCTTGAATCTCACAGACTGATTAATGGATTAAGTAAGATCATCCTAGAAGTGTTTGCACAAGATGATCACTGAGATCAGGCTCCTAGAGTCCCGATCCATTATTTAGTGCAAGCCATCTCTCAAGGCTCACATAACGTTTGTTTGTACCACTTTGGCTTCCTGATTTGTTTAGATTAGGGAATGACTCCCTAGACAAAACAGGCACCTGCTCCTGAACAGTCCAACTCATAAAAAAATAGTAATACAGGACATGAAATTCAGCCAGCATAAGGTCTGAATACCTATTACTGTGGAATTGGGGAGCACAAGATTTTAGGGTTTTCCTTAAAGGAAAAGATTTTATCACTCCAAACCCATTATGCAGAACAAAGTTCAGTTCACTCAGATCTGCTTGCTCCTGATGAATAGTGTGTAAGCAATAACACAAAGCTTTGCTATGTTATAGTCTACCCTAGAATTGTCAGGAAAAGAAAAAATAAGAAGTCAGCTAACACTGAAATGAATCAATAATAGCAGAAAGATAAGTGGCATGCATGTTTTTGTCTTAGAAAGATGCTATGGATGAACACAAAACCTGTTTTAATTGACATAATGCCAAGAACAGGCGCAACACCCACAGAGATGGGGGTCTGCAGCAATCCCCCCCAGTTACAGGCCAGCTCTTCTGTTCGGCACACCTCCATAAAAGATCAAAACCACAGGGTGAAAGGTAGCAGCAAGAAATTGGACTTTACATCTCAAAAACACATCGCTAACCAGGCACACCAGCCTGCCTTTCTCAAATGTCTTTGAAATGTTTGCCTGGAAGCCAGTAAAA